TATCGGCTTCAATGACATGGCATGGTAGCATCGTTGCAGACTGCCACACCACTTATGCTATTTGATGTTCACACGTTTATCAGCGGCCTCAGCCTCTGTACACAATGGTGCATTTAGACATCGTGGCACAATGAGACTGTAAGTGTGGTAGACCTCATTTAGCACTGAGGCTGTTATTGAAGGAGATGCCACTCCAGGACACTGGATTGTGTTGCCTTCTCCCGTGACGGGAGTCCTGTTCTTCTGGCTCAGGTAGATGCTCTGCTGTCTCGGCACTGGAGGACAGTGAGTGGAGTGGAGGACAGAGAGGCCTGTTAGGGCATGAAGTCCACTCATCACAAGAACGCTAGTCTTTACATGAATGATCTTCTGTGCATATATCTGTGATTTTGTTGACATGTTTAAATGTAGTGTGGTTGACAATCGAAAGTGCCAGAGATGTGACTTCGCTTCCAAGAGTTTAAAGGAGCCTAAATGTACAATAGAAAATATTTTCTTTAAAAATGGTTTACATATTTTTAAATGGACGAAATCAATGATAGCTCAGTTAATCAGTGTACTTGAGATCTCTTTGTGATAGAATGAGATGTTTAAAATAGTAGAATAAGATTTTGTGGTCCTTTCAAAGATGTGTGGTGGTCTAAATTTGATGCATACTGTCTTTTGATTACCTCTGGTCTAAACAGAATGTGCATTATGATACAGACCTCCTTGACTTCAGTTACAGTACATGGTAATGTTAAACACTTACTCTGAAGCTCTCTTCTGAAATCTGTGTGGAGCCGTGCAAAGAAGCAAAACGGGTCATGTGCTTTAGCTTTTGTTAAGATCAGAGCACCTGAGTTCTGAATATATTGTGTCTTAAACACACACAGAATCACCAGTGACACATGAAGCAAGGAAACTCTGTGGAAGTGCATAGTGCTGCAGTATGATAATGAGGTCTGGAGAAGACAGAACCAGGCGTTCCCTTGTCTCCATCAGGCTGGTGTGGGCACGGAAATATAGGAGGAATGTTGAACAAAGATCCTATCGAAAATTAAAAACACACACTGATAATGTTACTAACATGAGCTTCAAATGCAAGACTTTGGTTCAAAGGTAACAGCGAGATATAGGTGCAGTGTACCTGGTTTGTGGTAAAGGCTTTACCCAGTTAAATGCTGACCTTTCCAATCTGTGAATGTTTCTCTACAGCAGACGCTTCGGTACATAATCAAGTCCGTATTCAGTGACATAATTTATATCAACAATTACTGTGAGCCAGATGCTGAGGATTAGCTTCATAGAGAGTTTTACAGTGGCCAGTTGGGCAAACTGCACAGCTAGAATTTATAATAGGCAGGACCATGGGAGTTAGAATATGGCATCTATTATGCAGCTCTAGCATCTATCATGTTGTCCTAGAATTTTCTTCATAAACTCCCCTGTTGTTTATTTGTAGTTAATATTTTAAATGCTTTGTTGGCTTTTTTATTAAACTGTATCTGTTGCACTAAAAATCTACAGTTCTGAAATGCAAAAATTAGCTTTGTACTACATACATGTACTGTAGCCTGTGCCAGCTGTGGAAACTGGGAAGACCAACCAAAAACACAGTGACAGAAATCTCCTTCTGTCCAGGAGTCACGCTGTGGGAAAACTGTTGCTGTTCGGAACTGTTAATATGAAACCCTGAGCAATAAACAGAGTTTTGTGCTTGAAAAAAATGAACTAAAAGAAAATCAATATTGCACATCATTATTCCATTCAAAATTGGAATAATTGTATTGTAATCAGGATTTCATGGAAACAATATTAAAATTAATGGACCTATCAGCATTATTGAATGTGTTCTTTTGTTACAGTGTACGGTTTCTTTTTGTTGCTAAAGCGAGATAATGGCAGAAAATGTGTGTGCACTCCTTCAGTTTCTGAATTTAAAGTTATTTTAGTGTTTGTACGAACAGCCAGGCATGTCTATTGGCAAGTTATTATGGGGATTGACAAAGACTGTCATCATTTTGATAGCGAGAGCAGTATATCTTTCAGATAGCAATGGGTCTCTTATGCAGAAAGAATCACATGTTCTCAGCCAATTTACAGGGAAACAGCAATAACATTTTATCATGGTTGAGAGCCCAGTAGCTGCTTCCTATTAAACTTGCCCTTTCAGATACCTGTCTCGGATTAATTTGTTGATTTCAAATGGAAACTCAGTCTTCTCCAGTGAAGCATGACTTTCTAGGAAAGACTGTTTCTGAATGACAATTATATTCTATCTGCTTTCAGACTATTACAAGCCAAGGCCCAGAGGAAGACAGAAGACTTCACTTACTGATTTTAATACCATGTCCAATTCTAACTGTCAGTTATTTATGCACTAGTGGAATAGTCTTCTGAAAGATGAAATGCAAAAGACTCTTCTAACTTGGTCTTTTAATGATGCACTTGATGTATAAAAAAAGCCTCCAAGAACATGCGCTTTCCCAAAGAGATTTGTAAGTGTGGCTCAAGCACCAAGTTTAAAGCACCATGCTCAAAACTGAGAAATCCCCAAAGGGTTTTGTTTTTTCCTTGACTGAGCACTTGTTTGCATATGTTACATTAAACACAGGGACACTCCGTAATAAAACCTGCTTGTTAACAATTTAATGTACTGCATGCTGAAAGTATGAGAAAGAGAGTATGCTTTTGTTAGTTTAAAATAAAAATAGTAATTGCAGTGCAGGCAGTCCCAGTTCTTAAAATTAACTCCTGCTGCAAGCTATTAGAGAAACTGGTTATATGTAAAACACATCAAATCATAGGGCATTTATTGGTCCTTTATAATAATTGGGAAATAGGCAAGTACAGTGAGAGGCTTTAAATAACAACTAATTAGTTTATTAGATATATTTAGTTATGTTTTATGCTTCCATATATAGTATTTGAATATTTCCATTGTGCTTCTGTATTTTTCATAGCTTTGAAGCTTGCTTACAGTTTTTAATTCTTGTACTTTATGCAGGTGTTTTGTAATGAAGTGCTTAAAATCTGAGTCTTTTCAGGCCCAAATTTAGGTTGCGCTTGAAATCACAACCACTATAGTTCATAACAAGAAATGATTTATGGTTAAACTTAAGAACAACAACTCATGTCACCACCGTTGCAATATAACAAATGATTTCTCTGCTTGGACAAGCTTTATTATATCAGAAGCAGTAACCTTTTCAACAGCTGAACCAGAACTATGATACATGGCGGTGAGGAGGTGCTGAGCATGTGTCACAGAACTTCCTGCGTATTGGGGGTTGGAGGGGGGCGCGTTAGCTGTCTTCTGAATTTAGAGAGATTGCCCACAGACATTAACTGAAAGGCAATAATGACCAAGACTTTAAAAAAAAAACAGTGTAGTTATCCCAGATTTCCAAAACAGTCTGTAAAAATACTCTCACTGAGCTGGTTCTCAGTGTTTAAATTAGTGCTTAGACAGCTTGTAAAACTCATATTAACAATAAAAAAATTAAAGGCAGGTGGAGCTTTGGCGTACTAAGTGGCCTTAAAGACCAATAATGATTTAATAGTCATATTCAGTACAAAATATACTTTACAGCTAAGTGGCAAGAGCCAGTTTGTGTTTTAACGCTGCTTGATGTGGTGTTGTTTATTCTGTAATGAAAAAGAAGGCAGTGAGACTGTCTAGTGGACTTTAACCCTTGTGTTTCTGAAAAAAAACTGCTTTTCTAAAACATCGGTGGGAATGTATATCTCTGGAATGCGCACGTCTTTGTATTGTCGAGCTGTTTACTCTTTTGTGATTCTGTTTAGCCCAAACCGGTGCGTCTGACAGATGTGTGCTCTGCTCAGGAGCGTCGAAGATAACTTGCCACAAGAGCGAACCTCTCTCTCCCTTGATAAACCTTAAACCACACACAGACAGCAAAGCTCAGCTGAGGGAGGCAGTGGGATTGTAGACGGACAGTGAAATTGTCCATACTGCCTGCTTGTTTGTGTTTTACGGTTCTTAGTCTCATCGCAAGAGGTTGCGGTGCAAAAATGTGAGGGTGCTGAGCCTCTGCAAGGAACGTCTGCTGCTCAGTCTGGAATCTTACTGCTTTGCGTATGTGCAGTGACTCTGGGTCTCCCAATGTCTGACCTTCTCGTGAATTTCTGATGAGACTGCGGCCTTTTTTCTGCCGGAAGGGATGCAGTCGTCAGTGAATGGCCGTGCGTCTTTCAACCTGGGTGCAGCTCTCTCACAGATATATTCCCAACCCGACTCGGTGCAGTCTGACATACTGTAGATCGTCTTTCACACACCCAGATCCCCAGAGGAAGACATTATGGGGCATCCAGCTATGTGAGCACAGTAACCACAGTGTGCACGCCTTAATGTTCATAGTTGACTGTCTGTACTGCAGGTTCTGCCCTTTTTGGAATACAATTGGGTACCAGCCTTTGTATTTGTTGAGAAAAGCATCATTCTATTCTTGTTCGGTTTAATTTGATGTATATTACATTGTATTGGAGTATTCATGAATATTCCTATTCATATTTTTTGTACAGAGGTTTTACAGTCCTCATCTGTTCAGTGAGCAGAAGGAGGTGCAGGGCCTCTGGCCCACCCAGGAATGAACAGAGCCCTGCTCTGTGTATTTCAGAGGAAGACTATGAATCACAGGAACCTGTGCCGACAGAAGGGCTATCCTGGACACGGGTCCCTGAGTTTGGATGTTTGTCTTTCGTATTATTCTGCATTTATTTCTTTCAAGGACAGGGGGTCTGGGTGAGGGGAGTCTGTTGATAGGGTCTTGCTCCTTGCTGCTGAGGTTATTGGTCACCTTCTTCTTTAAAAATTGATGTACCCTGTAAATGAGTCTGATGATGAAGAACGTTCCTGATAAATATCAATACTATATTATCTGCAGGGACAGCTATTAAAGCAAGAAGGATGGCTGAGGACAGCAGAAGCCGCCTATCAAGTCACCCCTGCCCTTTGCGTTTAGATGCTGACACTGTTCATCTTTGACCTTTGACAGGCTGGGTCTCGACCCCAAGCTGCTGGCGCAGATCCTGAACATGAGCTCTGGCCGCTGCTGGTCCAGTGATGCTTACAACCCTGTTCCCGGAGTGATGGAGGGGGTGCCCTCTGCTAACAGCTACCAGGGAGGGTTTGGGACCACACTAATGGCAAAGGTGGGCAGAGCTACTGGAGCATCATTCTTCATCCTGATCTGCTGGCAATCTGGGGAGCCACCTGCTCGGCTTCGGCCTCATCATCCCCTCTGTCTGTTGCTCTCTATTAGTCGGACTGTCTACTCCATACCTATGTGCATGAAGTCAGCACCAGGGCAGGTCTGGAAATGGACACGCAGAAAAACTAAAGTCATGCTCATACCAGTCTTCTGAAGGAAACTGCAATAAATGGCATTGAAATACAAGAGGTCCAATGTTAAGCGTATTTAGATCAATTCATGTCAGAAAAGAAGAGGACAGAAAAATCAAAAATGATTCTTCTGAAGAATCGTGTGTTTCTGAGTGGGAAAATGTCTTGCGGAGTCTTGCGAAGAAAGGTTTCGAACATTATATACCGTATTTACCCCAAGTCCTGAATACTGAAGTTGTTGAAATGCAAAATACTCTCTTGGAGTAGAAGAGAAGAGGCCACAGTAAAAGAACTGAGTAGGATCATGGCAGAGTACTTCCATTCCTTGATTTCTGAGTGAAATTAATTCCTTGAAAACTTCACTAGGTGAAATGTCATAAACCAAGAGTGAAAATCCCAAGGTTTAGAAAATCCCCAAGAATTACTGATTTTTACACTTATCGGAGTCCTTAATCGTCAAAGTAAAACGGCTTGTTTATGATAATTATCCTCTATCCCCTAGTACAGTCGTCAATAAGATGATGAGATAAAATGTGAAGAAGGTGCAAGACTTTCAGACTTCTTTATAGTGGCAATCAGGAAGCAGGGTGTTTGTACTATTTTTCCTGTATGTTCTTGTTTTGTTCTCTTACTTTTTAGTGTATTTGTTGTCTTTTTCTTTCTTTATTGTAAGTAGTAGTGTATGATTCCTGGCTTGGGAATGGAAAAGCTTGGTTCCAGTCAGAGACCTGTGAGTTAAGTTCTGTGAAGAGTTTAGCAAGAACAAACCAGCTGGTGTGGGCTCCCAGGACAGGGCTGGCTTCAGAAAATAAAACTGAACAATCACTTTCCTTCACATGCTGTGAATTCGTGAAGAATTGTGAGATACAGCACATTATGGCACACTTGCAGAAACAAGGCCTTAACATAATGCTAATTGGTAGCCTTTTTATTTTAATCTCCAGTTCTGTCAGGAGGCAATAAAGTTCAGTCTGCATATGTATTTGACACAGTTTTGGCAAAGAGAGCTAAAACTCTGGAGAGGGATTTTAATGGGGGGGGGGTTCAGAGCTCAGGATTACACATAAAAATGTAGCTCAGCATCTTCTACTTCTGTTGTGAATTTCTCATTGAAACCAATTACCTTTCTCTTTTTAAACTTTATTTTTAGGACCTGGGATTAGCACAGAACTCGGCTACAAACACTAAAACAGCTGTCCCGCTGGGATCGCTCGCCCATCAGATCTACAGGATGATGTGTGCACGGGGCTATGCAAAAAAAGACTTCTCATCTGTGTTCCAGTTTCTCCGAGAGGAGGAGAGCCAGTGAGGAGAGATGTGGACGATGTGTGAAAGTGTGCCTGATGCACTTGTACTGTATGCAGGACAGATGCTCTGGTAGTTTATAGTCAGGTAGCAGGAGGGGCGGGTGTATTTTGAAAGCCGTAAACTTTGATTGCATACGGAGTCCGTAGGGAAATAAGTGTTTTGACAGATTGTGTACGTTTTGTACTTTCCTTTTTGGAACTGTCTGTGTGTTGCCTCTGTAATCCTGCATTTTAAAGCAGCACTCTTGTGCTCTAGATTCAGTGAATGGTAACACGCCTGATTTCCCTCATACAGAAAGCTTATGGTTTATTATAAAGTCATGTCAAGATGAGTCTCTGTCAGCTAAAAGTGCAGGAACAAAAATTGGAGATGATTTTTTCTCCTGTGAAAAATGGTTCAGGTGGGATTAGCTATGCAAGGGACAGATAACAGAAGCTCTTCAATGTGCAAAGATTAACCATTTTTACTCTTACGTACACTGTGTCCTGTTTTTTCTTTTGGAAAAAAAAACATTATTTTCACACCCACTCCACTGTATTGTTAGTTTTTATTTCCTGATATTGTCGTGGTTTATGTTTTCTGTTCATTAACCAAGTAGACACTGGTTATTCCCAACAGTGAATAAATGCTACAACTCACCATTCTGTCATGTTATTGTGTATTTGAAATGCCTTAAATAAATAAAAAACACAAACATTTCTTGTTTTAGTTAAGCAAGCGCCGATATTTTCTTATTTTAGATTTATTAACAAATCCTATAAATAAAAAATGGAAGTTGATTTTATTCGTAGTGGTTCAGTATTTTCTTCTGTTTAGCAGTGTGGTATCATTTTATGTAAATTAAGCACCACAGTTTTATACTTGGCTTTTCAGAGCAGGCTTGTCATTTTGTTATCAGGTCTTGTGATGACAAGTTAAGCCAGCCTGACCTGCTCACTGTTTATGTTGTAGTTGTTTTTATTTAACACTCTTATTTTCCTTAGATCATGGTAAAGCATCCCTCCACATTAAAGAAAGATGGTCTTATGTTCTTATGTAAAATATCATGTTGCTGTTTTGAGAGAAAGAAAACAAACCACTGCTGTTTGTAGAACTGGCACTGTGTGCTGCTGTTCTGAGTTGTGGACCTGAAACAGGACCTGTATTGCTTGAAGACTGAAGTGCTCAGCACTGCCCTGGAGCCCATGCAGGGCTGACTACCAGCAGGGGTCCATACAGGCATTTCACCATGGTGATTGATCGTTCCACTGCTTTTTGACCAGGAGAGCTACAACACTGACAGTATCATTGTCGAAAGGGGCTGTATTTTAGGATGCAAAACCACAGTAAGACATAATGAGTTCCTGTGGCCTTTTTCATCTTCTGTTAATGCACCGTGCACTGATGCACCCCCCTGCTTTGACTTCTTTTGATAGAGGTGTGCTCTTAACAGACAGATGTGGCAAGTTTAACAGAACAGGCTTGTCCATAATACAGACTGATCAGGTATGTTCTTTACTAGCAATATGCAGCAATATTATTACAGCATCCCCAAACATTCAGCTGTTTAACTCATTGACTGAAGGTTTTGTATAACCATAGCTTAATGATTAATAATGGCATATAATGCCAGATCTTTGGAAAAAAACTGTCTTTTCCATTCATGCTGTTTTCTGGAGATTGGAAATGCATGTTTATTGTAATACCATGGTCTTATCTGTAGGTCTTAGATCCTGCACAAGCTTCAGCTGGCATTGTTCAGTGTGTCTCTGGCTGTTCCTTCTTTCATCTTAGTTGGTTTAATGTTTATTCAATTAAGCAAACCAATTTAAGGTTAATTAAGACCACAGAAGAGAGGAGGCCTTAGGAAACACCTTGCATGTTTGATTGGTGGGAATAGGATAATTATTTCAAGAGAAATACAGTGTTACGTTATGTATCGGGCTTCTATTTTTTCCATTTTTAAGTGTTTTGGTGGGTTGATTTAGTTTTTAACTGTAACTAAGCATTAATTGAGTTATTTTTTCCAATGTAGCATTCAGGCACTAGTCAATTATTTTGACTATTTCTCCTGGACTGGTATATTTAATAAATTAAAACTATGACAGTTACCATAAAGCATTCTCCTTTATACTTCTTTTATTCTAATCTCCCATCACAGTGTAGTAAAATTATGTATAGTTGGTGAATATTGAAGTGTGAACTGTCCACATAGAAGGTTTTTAAATCCATATGTATGTTAGCCTGAAAGTACTTGTGTGCCAATACCTTACCATAGTTTATCCACAAAGATTTGTGGTCACAAGCATGATCTTCTGGGGGGGGGTGTACCTAAACCTTTTTTCTTTCAGCGGTTAGCATTTCAACATCTATAGTGCATATGCAGTTCTTCCAGTCTAAGTGTAATGTTTTAAATCAGCTAAGCTTGTACTGAGCTGTTCAAGTTTAATGTCCTCAGAAATTCATTTAGGCGTCAATATAAGCAGTTCAAGTAGGGAGCTGCGTCAGCATGTGTAGGCTGCAAAGGAACAAGTAAAGGTTTATTCCATGCTGAAAAGAGGAGGAAAACAACGTTTCACACCCAAAGAAGGCTCCACAGCCGAAACGCGTTTAATTTCTTGTTTATTCCATGCTAAAAGGAGAATAAAGGAAACGCGTTTCGGCTGTGGAGCCTTCTTTGGGTGTGAAACGTTGTTTCCCTTTTCCTCTTTTCAGCATGGAATAAACCTTTACTTGTCAGCATAAGCATGTCAGCAACAAAGATGAACAACTGCCTTTAAAACAGCTTTAGGAGAGGGGTGAAGTCAGAATTACTACATGCAAACTGAATACCTCTTTCTTGTGGTGTTTTTTCTGGTGCATATTGGATGAACACAAATATAGTTTTTTCACATTGGGGGTGTACTGGTGGTTGAAAATGAAAACCAGAAGCCCTCTTCCTGTTCTGTGTGGACTGGATGTGAAGAACAAAGCTGGGGTGGAGTTGCCTTTCAGTCGGCTTTGCTAACTTGCTTACACGGCTTCCTGCTGCGCGATCTACAGTGTGTCTGGGTCAGCCTTACCCTCCATTTATCCTCCTGCATTTAATTTCTTAGCATAATTCTTCACAAGCTTTCTGCAGCACACCTAATCTTGCTTCCATAATCACTGCCGCCTACTCCTGCACAGTTCTAATGAGGTGAAGGAACCTAGACTCTCCCTTAAACATGAAGGACAGCCCCTTCTCAGTATATTCCCATCAATAAAGATGGCTCTAGTCATCTGTGGCTGCAGATCCAAACGGCTGCCCAAAACCAAACTTCCAACGGCAGTGAAGTTTGTGTTCTCACGTGCGTCGATGTGGAGCAGCACGTCTTGTCAGTCCCCTCGCCGGGCCCAGCAGCAGGCAGGGAGAAGGGAGTGCAGAGGGGCCTGCTGACACCCCCAGAGCCGCCCAGGGGAGCCCCCAGTTGTGCAGAATGGTCCAGCTCCAGGTCACCCACTCTGGACCAAGCATTTCAATTCTGCACTGCAATTGCTGGCAGAGTGAGTCTCAGACTATCCCACCTTTGTGTCTGGAAGCCTTTTCGGTTGTGTCATTAAATCTTTCTTGCCTCACTTTCCAATTCAGCCCTGCCTGTCCTGTTCTTATTGTTGTCTACACTGTACCAGGCGTATAATGTCTTGGCCAAATTGTTATCATAAATAATAATCTGTTCTCAGTTGGTTTACCCAATGACATTATTGTTTATTTCAAAGTATGTTTGGTTTTATTTGATCAACTTACTGCACATTGTGTTTTATGGTTTTCCTGCATCTTATTGTGCAATGCTTTGAGTTTATTTTAAATTTAGAGATGTACTTTATTAGTAGTACTAATCTGCTTGAGAGTACAGTTCACACTCTGTAGTGAGTTCCATGTGTGACCATATAGAAATTTCTTTTGTGTGGTATTCAGTTAAATCATTATGAAGATTATACATTTTAAGAAAGATGAGGCTGTAGAACAAAAGTTGAATGGCTTTGATACATTTTAACATCTGCCTCATGAGCTGTTGACACGCCATAAAACTTTCACATGTTTGCAAGGGCCTTTGACGTTTTAAGGGCAGCTAAATATCACTCAGCAGAAGTGAGCACTGGGTGCAGTACAGAGCACGACTGCAGAAATGGCCTGGTTGTGTCCTGACAGCCTTATGCCTACCTGTACATCCCTGCAGGAATGGAGAGAATAATTATTTTCTCTCATTTCACTGTGGTCTGTAAACCTCACAATATACAATAACTGCTTAAATTAAGTCAGATGTCTCCATCTTTTCAGTATGTTGGCAGAAATCGACATCAAGAGAGAAGTATTTATCTCTTAAACCTGTAGCATTCACTGGGGTTACAGGAACGCTAATTCAAAGTTATCTGTGTTGACAGTGGTTGGCTGTTAAGTACTGTTTTTAAGTTAGACTTTTTATGTTATTCATTTTAAATGGCTAAATTGTCACAATTTTGTAATTATAAATTCCTCTTAAACTTCACCAGGGAAGCACGGCAATCTTCCAGATCATGAAAGCATCTTATTTCTTAAAGTATTTCTGGTGCAGCTTTTTAAAATAAATTGTTCATTCCATCCCAGCTCTTATAACATGGCAATAGTTCTCGACAAAATTGGCTAAAATCTTGTTTGATATTCTATTGCCCGTAAGGTTAAAGGAAGAAACAGACAAAATATTCCAGTTGAAATACAAAATCCTTGAAATAAGGGAAAGTGTTTCTTGAATTTCCTGATAAAATGTTTATGAGAATAGTTTTGATAAAACTTATTCAAAAGCTATGTAATGTATCACTGTGCTTCTACGGAAGTACTGGAAATATTAGTCTTCTGGTCTTTCAAAGACAGTAATGGAAATTAAACCTTGCCAGTATCATGTCCATAAATTCTTCTGAATTCATTAAGATTGATTATTTTTGAAAATTCTTATTTTCTCAGTTTTACATGTGCTGTGAATTCTAACCACATTGTTTTTTACAATGCTGTTGAATTGGTTTGGAAATAAGAATATAGTCAGTGATGACCAACTTTCCAAAAGTTTGTCGTCTGATTTAGAGACGAGCTTGTGACCCATAGATAGAGTTTCGTAACTTTGCTGCATTTTTGTGTTCAGGATATGAAACCTGAAGGAACGACTGAAATGTGAGACCTTTCTGCGTCCAGGAAACTCTGTAAACAGTGTAATGATACACAGACCGTTCTGTGATGAAAACACCGGTGTTGGACTTTAGGAGAACAATAAATGAACATGCCAAAAGGAAGAAAAAATAGATGTGTTAAATTTTCTTTATTACAATGGAATGAAAAATTACATTATTTTAAAAAACTTTTTATGTAAATATTTTATGGCTTTAACATAGCTGCCATAATACATCAAACTCATGAACTCATTAAATGTACAATATTAAAGGTAGAAGAATTCAGATAACCATCTAGATGTGACTGCCACCAAAAAAAATATTGATGAAAAGGGAATATTTTATATTACATAAATCCCACGACCTGGACAATAGATTATTTATTGTATCTCTAATTGTCCCTTTACATTATACATATAGTCTACATTAATCTTTAAAGATTAATTTAAGTTTCATCATATTAAAATGTTTGGCAACATAAAGTACACTCAGATTCATTTAGGGGGGTTACAGTCTGTTTCATAACCACGCTGTTGGTGAATGTCAAATGACACAAACGA